ACGAGGGTTGCGTCATCTCCCAAGCAGTTGCGAATTTTGGCTGATATCCATGAGATGTCCTCAGATGCATAAGACCGGCAAATTATTCGACTTCCTGTCGATGCAGAGGACATGGTTGACATTGTAAGTAATTTGTGAAGAAAGTGTTTGAGAAGGAGGGTCACGTTTTTGGACAAATGATTGTTTTCACTCCAAACCCAAGCATATATAGTGGAGTAAAGTGTTTGATGGTGAAACCACAAAGAGCGGGAAACTTCCTTTGTTTAGGCGTCAGTGTTCCATCATGGGCCCCATTTTATATAAAGTGTGAATTTGTAAAGACGACAAGTTCATGGCGTACAGTGTAATGATACCCTTGCTTGTGACCATATATATGGTACCCTCTAGTCCATAAAATGTACCACTCTGTGTACAATGATACAATCAACACGTGAAAAGGTACCACTGTACTAAGGCCTTTACAAATTTCATTGTCATTAGGTTAACGAAGTAAGTGGTAAGTCCAATTTCTGAAGGAGGACTACATAAAAAAAACACTGTTCATTACAGGGTGTAACTGGTTAAATCATTTAGCAGTCGATAACAAGTAAGGCCATGAACGAACCAAGTAACAACTGAATAACACAAATAAGTAACTAAATTCGTTAATGACGTAAATATCCTAGAGGTTGTGATTACGAATTTCAGGTACATGTAAGGGTTGTGCTTACGAAATCATTAAAAGATTATGAACTAGTTACTGAGGTAACCTGTAGTATTTATACATGTAGGTCTTATTAACAAAATATTAGTGAAACCGAAGATTGTCATTAAATAATGTCCTACAGTGTACTACTATCAACGTAAATCTCCCAAAGGTTGTGATTAACAAATCATTAAAAGATTAAGAATTAGTTAATGAGGTCAACTCTAGTAATTAGTTATTTGTACCAAAGATATTAGTGAAACCTACGAAGAAGGATATTAGTGATATCACAAAATTGTGATTAAACAATGTCCACCTATGAAGGTTTTATACCACCTTAAACAAGAAACATGCTTTTTCCTTTTCAGTGGTTCTTTTTATAAGGTCATTTGTACCACCCTGACTGCAGTGGTACCCTAATTGTCTTAGTGGTACCCTCGATCAGATGACAACGTGTACTCTGACCTTGAAACCCTACATATCTTAAATCATTTAACAATCGATAACGAGTAAGGACATGAACGAACCAAGCAACAAATGAATGACCCAAAGAACGAATTAAAGCAGATGGACGTATATATTGTATTACAAAGTAACTGAATTAGTTGATGAGGTAAATATCCCAAAGGTTGTGATTACAAACTTAAGGTACATATAGGGGTTGTGATTAGAACTTCAGTAAAAGATTACGAATTAGTTAATGAGGTAAACTCCAATATTCATACATGTGGATACATGTACGTCTTATTAACAAAATACTGGTGAAGCAACAACATGTCATTAAATAATGTTCTACAGTGTTATATTATCAACGTAAATCTCCCAAAGGTTGTGATTAACAAATTCATTGACAGATTATGAATTGGTTAATGAGGTCAACTCTAGTAATTAGTTATTTGTGACCAAAGATATTAGTGAAACCTAATAAGAATGATATTAGTGATACCAAAATTGTGATTAAACAGTGTCCTCCTATGAAGGTTCTGTACCACCCTGAACAAGAAATATGCCTTTTCCTTTTCAGTGGTTCTTTTTATAAGGTTATTTTTACCACCCTTACTACAGTGGTATCCTAATTGTCTTAGTGGTACCCTCGATCAGATGACAAAGTCTAATCCGACCTTGAAACCCTACATATCCTAAATCATTTAAAAATCGATAACGAGTAGATGTATTGCATTTGGAACTTGAAACTTGCTTGATGTATTATACTGAAGTTAAGTTGTTTGAATTAGCTCATTATTCAATTATTATTATCCCATACCAAAAATTGTAATTAGTATAAAGTATACTTGAATTACAACTACAAACATAAAAGCACACAAAGTTGGCTTAAAATAAGCCTAAACATATTCCAGTGGTACACTTATTGTTCGTGACTTGTACCATTAATTTTATCTACATGCGTTTAAATGACATATTGAAATGACGGGTGACGCAAATTGCAGTTCCCCAGATTTAGCATACCTAATTTCTTTAATCTCCCCCAGTAAATCAGCATTTTTGCAGAAGATAGATAAACTGTCTTTGGATCTTGATTAACCGTCATCATTACATCTCCCCCACTACATCCACTCATCTAGAATTTGAACCGTCATTTTACACTCCTCCATATATACGGCAAATCATTGAGTAAGTTACTTATCTCAAACATTTTCACAGATTAACAAAGAGTTAAAAGTAACTCATTTCCTAGTGGTTGGAGCCATCATAGGTCCTTTTCCTTTTCAGTGGTTCTTTTTATGAGTTCATTTGTCCCACCCTGATTATAGTGGTACCCTAATTTTCTAGGAGGTACCCTTGATTAGATTAAAACGCCTACTTTAACCTTGAAACCCTACGTATCCTAAATCATTTAACAGTCGATGACGAGTAAGGACATGACCGACCCAATCAATACCTAAATGACTCAAACAACGAATTACATCAGATGGACGTATATATTGTATTAAAAGTAACTGAATTCGTTGATGAGGTAAGTATCCCGAAGGTTGTGATTATGAACTTAAGGTACAGAAAGGGGCTGCGATTACGACATCGTTAAAAGGTTACGAATTAGTTATTGAGGTAAACTCTAGCATTCCTACATGTACGTCTTCTTAACAAAATATTAGTGAGAACGTGAATCGTGATTAAAAATTGTGCTACAATGTCCTACTATGACCGTGAATTTCCCAAAGGTTGTGACTAACAAATCTCTAAGAGATAATGAATTGGTTACGGTGGTCAACTCTATTACATAGTTATTTGTACCAAAGATACATGTGAAACCCACTACGAAGGCTATTAGTAACACCAATAAATGTGAGTACAAAATGTCCTCCTACGAAGGTTTTGTACCACCCTGCACAAGAAACATGCATTTTTCTTTTCAGTGGTTCTTTTTATAATTTAAGTTGTACCACCCTGACTAAAGTGGTACCCTAATTTTCTTAGATGTATTACATTTGGAGCTTGAAGCCTACTTTATGTACTACACTAAAGTTTAGTTGTTCGAATTAGCACATTATTCAATTTTTATTATCCCATACCTAAAACTGTAATCAGTATGACGTATACTTCACTTACAAGTACAAACATAAAATCACACAAAGTTGGCTTGTAATAAACCCAAACATATTGCAGTGGTGCACTTATTGCTTAAGATATGTACCATTAATTATTATATGCATGCGTTGAAATGACATATTGAAATGAAGGGTTAGGGAAATGGCAGTTCCCCAAATTATGCATGCCGGATTTATTTATCTCCCCTAGTAAATCATCATTTGCGCTTAACATTGATTAACCATCATCATTACATCTCCCACCCACTACATCCACTCCCTTGCAGAATGTGAACCGTCATTTTACAGTCTATATATAAGGCATTTCACTGACTAAGTTACTTATCTTAAACATTTTCAAAGATAAACAAAGATTTAAAAATAACTCACTTCCTTCTATTCCAAAAAACAAAGGTCAAATTCCATAAAAACGCAAAAAAAAAAAAAAAAAAAAAAAAAAAACATGGATGTAGTAGAAAAAAGGCGAAAAATTTCAACTTCCATGGTTGACATCTTTCCGTCGGAAGTGTTAGCAACCATTTTGTGTTGCGTTGCTATGTCATCTCCTGCAGATTTATTTCGGAGCAAATTAAGGTAGGATTTCATTTTATTTATAATTTATACTCTGTGTCATATCCCCCTATACATAGAGATTTTAATAATGTAATTTATGGCGTATGACATGATAAAAGTTGCAAGATCCTGCAAAGGATAGCCGAAGAAAAAAGGGTCCTTCAACAAATTCACTTCCCTTGGATTGAAACACGAAGGTGGTTACACCGAGAAGAGGCAAACACATTCTTCATGATGTGCGTGGAGAATGAACATCCTGAAGCTCTGCTTGAGTTTGGATTTGTAAGTCTTATTTCTTATTACTTGAGAATTTTATTCATTATAATATTAAAAAAAACTTGTTGATAATTGTTAAAATTTTTCTATTTTACGTTACTGTAGCGACAATACTTCAACACTATGGTGGTAGACGAAGGGTTGAAGAGGTTGGAAAGAGCAATTGCGTTGCAAAATACAGAGGCAACATATATAGTAAGCATCATGTATATATATATACACCGGAGAAGAAGAAAAAGGTGTTAAGCTTTTGGAGAACACTATTAACAGCATCGGATCTGCAGGAATCGTCCAGTGCAGAAGGAAGTTACGTGACATGCGATGTCAAATTGGATGAGAAATAAGTTGGTTGTAGATTATATGCCACAGCCACAAATATTTTGCAAACTAAAACTACAACACGAGAAGAACTTATCTGCATGGGCTGGTCTTTATGACGAGGATGCTAAAAATACAATATCTTATTTAACTTGTAATTGCATTAGGGAAATAAGAGTATTTTATACAATAGTACATGGTCTACTCATCCATCATGTATGATAAATATGATCTGTATAATGACATTTCTTTTTTTAACTTACAGATTATGATTTGTTACATTTGTGTTTCTGTTGTATATAATAATATGTTTTACAGTTCAGAACAACACACACAAACACAGTAGTTTACAATATTGGTTGTATTGTTCTCAGCTACTTCATAATCAAACAAACCTATATTAGTTTACGTTGTATCAAAAGCAAATATTAAGGACATATAAACAGAACAACAAGAATAAAAGTTTACAACAACAATAATAAAAGAATAGATCAATATGGATTAGAACTCTGACAACGTCTACTCTGACCTTCAAACTCTACATATTCTAAAAATGTACCACTCTGATTACAGTGGCAATCTGCGAATCATAAGGTACACTTTCACAGGAAACTATTCATGTAACCACCTCTATTTTCAACACATGAAGATAACTGCCCAATGGTACAGTTCATGCACAATAAGTGTACCACTGCAACATGTTTAAACAACAAATACAACAAGTACATTCCAATGCATTAATCAACCAATTGAATCGATTACATTACAAGTAGTGATTGGAACCTGATGTACCATGAGTACCTAGTACACTTGCAAAAAGACCACCAAAATTTGTTCCCCTAACAGAAGTGAAGTACCCTAAGGAACCATCCACATCCCTCATTTGAATCCCTCCAACCGATCGTACATAGTCATTTGCTGACAATGACATACTGTTATGTGCCGCCGAAGCTTGCTTCTTTGCTGCATTTTTCGCCCTAACAGCCTTTTCTTTTCCCTTTTTCTCTGTGCAAGATGGGTACCTCACGTTGGTTGTACGATGGGCTTTCTTCTTAGGCAGCGGTGGATCCTTAATCACTGCCAGGACGGATCCATCACAACTCCCCACAAAGCCACTAACTGGTGTATGGATTGTATTCCGCAACCCAGATGCATGTGTGGCTGGTGTATTTGTACAACCAAGCCCCTTGTTCAAAGCCACAGAAGAAGGCGTCCGAACAACACCTTGTACGCCATCATCCTCACTATAGTTTTCATTATCCTTAGTTGCCTGTTCTTGTCTTTTGGAAACCATTGCCAACACTTCATCGACTCTGATGTCCATCAATTGCAACAACTCTGCCATAGCCTCAACACCCTCCTTACAAGCTGAAGCCTTTGAGCAAATAGGTTCATATATCCCCATCAATTTGTGATATTGCCTTGCTTCATCGGTTTTAAGTGGATCATGGTAAGCTACTTTCACTCGTGTGTGTTTCCTTTGAATATCCTTCCTCCAACGACGTAGAATATACTTCTCAGGAACAATGGAAACACCACAATGGTCATACACAAAGATTATATGTCGACAAATGATTCCATGGCACTCAAAGTGTTTACAGTCACAACTTGCTTCATATGTATTACTGTCATAGCACACCCTGTAGCATCTCCGTATCTTAGTCACAGATTCTTTCTTTGCATATTTTGGCTTGATCCACACTCGGTCCTCAATAACAAACTCAACTTGATTTTCACCAACTTCATAGTCATCTAGGCGACGCACGTACAACATCCTCTTGCACTCCCGCTGAACTTCTTTGAATTTGGCATCCGTGTAACACTTTCGAAACACTTCCTCCGCTTGGAAATCGGTAGCTAAATGCCTGACGTACCGTATTGTGTTGGAGTCCGCAATTCTTTCTGACTCGGCCCTTATTTGCATTGCATCGCAGTATCGAAGCACAAATTCAAATAACATTGTATGCTTGTCAACATAACCTTTGAAAAAGTGATTGAAACTTTCCGATCGTTGGGTCGTTTTCATCCCGGCCCAGAATAAATGCTTCAAATACGCTGGGATCCACATGTGCCTTTCCTCATACAGCCCTACATTTCAAAAAATTGCAATTATTGGCTTATCTAAAACCAAACAAACCTCATACACCTAGACTCCTATGAATGGTACATTCACTCCGAAATGTGCCACAAATAAGAAAATTGGAAAAAAAAAACATTCAGTGGTACAAAAGTCTACCACTAAACCTGTTCCTACTCTAAGTCAGAATGGAAATAGCTTCCAGTCCCCTGCGCACAGCCAGCTACACCACCTCTGCATACTCTAACAAAAATCACTAACAATCACCAAAAAAAAAAAAAAAAAAAAAAAAAAAAAAAAACATATGGAAGTGTAGTACCTTCAAGCCAACTATTATCTCCTAGTTTGTAATAATTAATTGCGTCCACCAAACAATCTACAAATTCATCAGCATCTAAACTACCATAAATGATATTTTCAAACTTATCCTTTACAGCTTCATAGTCCTCATGCTTACCAACATACCTCCCAAACTTCTGAAGTATGTGCCATATGCACCATCTATAGCAACTCTCAAGCATAGTCAAGTTTACAGCTTTCCTAATCGTCGGATCTTGATTCGTTAGGATTGAGATAGGAGCTTTAGCCCCCATGCAATGTAGCCAAGTCCTCAACACCCACTCATACGTCTCCGCCGTCTCTTGAGAGATCAATGCACACCCAAACAAAATACTCTGCCCATGATGGTTCACACCGATAAACACATCAAAGGGAAGGTGAAATTTGTTTGTCAAATACGTACTGTCAAAACACACAACATCTCCAAACTCCTCATACGCAGCTCTACTCCTCGCGTCTACCCACACAACATCTTTTAATGCGCCATCCTTCCCAAACCGACATAAATGGAAAAAATTCTGATTGTCGGCACTCATTTTGTTGAAGTATTATGTCATGCCATTTGCATCACCCTTAGTAAGCTCAAGTCTGGTTTTCTGAGCCACTGCATTCTCCAAGTCTCTTTGCGTAAATGTCATCTCCTCCACTCCATTACGCTCCCGAGCATAACAACTGTACATTTGGGATACCTTCAGCTTAGACTTCTTCGCCATATGCACCTGCTTGACCAAGTGATTGTTTTTCACCATTAACTCGTGCTTCTGGTACATCGCTACATCCTTTGACTTTCCCGGAGTAACAATGTGACCTTTGTGCTCCAAATTCAGCCTTCGAACAACCCAGTTCCCTTCCTCATCAACACTGGCATACAACTCCACAAGACAACCGCACTTTTTAGTCTTCCGTTTATGAAATGTCTCCTCATCTTGCAACAACCCTTCCTTCAGTGCATCCTGTTTACGCTTCCTTGAAGCATAACCATAACAATCACAAGTCCACTTAACATTCCTTCTCTCCTTACAACACTTTCCCTTTTCCAATTCCTTCTTCACATCCACCACCCAGAAGCAGTCCTCACTATACTAAAACCCTTTTGTCTAGCATAATTCCAGAAATAGGTATTCAACTCATCCCAACCCCCAAATACCATGCCCAAAGTTGGGGGTGGTACTTCCTCTTCCACACCAAACACAGTGTTCACCATTACTGTGTTCTTCTTTAGGGTATGAATGAGGAACCTCCTGCCTCTGCCCCTTCATCTTCAACACCACCCTCAACTTCTACTTCCTCAAAATCTAACCCCTGTATTTCTCCCTTATCTCCTTCTCCCTCTTCATCCTCCTCTTCATCTCCTTCTGTAAATCCATCCCCACTCTCTAACCCCTCCTCATAAACATATACATCAACCTCACTATCTTCTCCAAGTGCCTCACCAACACCCACCTACAACACATATACATCCACAACTCAATCCAGTGGATCATTATATCCCAACAACAACAAGCACAAACAATAACAAACAACACAACATAACAACACAATATAAAGAACAACATCATAACATTTATTATGCCCATTTTCAATGACTACACAGACCATTAAGCCAATATTTGAAAACCACTGACATTACTAAATAGACCCCAAAATGTCCATCAGTTGTCAAACTAAATTCACCAACCATCAATCAGAAACGACAACTAAACAAAATTTAAAGATACAAAAACTGACTTATCCCAAATTAAACCACTCATTTAATCACATTACAATACCCACATAACAATCACCATTCAAGCAATATACACAATAATTACTAAATTACACTACCAATTACCCAATATAATTAATCAATTATAAACACTCAACATGTACTCATACTTACAACAATGTGTGTTACGGAGTCACAAACCCTAATCTCTTACCCAACCTTTAATTTTATATTTCTTTAACAACCAACAAATTAACCAAACACATCTACCACGACGCAATAAATTAGACACTTACATATCATTCAAGGCATATTAAATTGCTTTAACTTTTCTCTACTTTTTCACTCTAAATATTTTCGTTTTCCGATCACTAACTTGATCATTGGAGCTAATATTCCGTCAACCGGAATATTCGTTGTTTTGCAGGTGTCTGCGGCCGTCTGGACATATTCACAACATGTATCCTGAGGGATTCCAAAAAACCCCGAAACATAAAGCCTAGTTGGAAAATCCTAAAATTAAACTAAATAATTGCAATGCGAAGCCTAGTTGCAAAAACCTATTTGAGAAAATACAAGTTTATCTTCATTATAAACAACAAAACGTTTATCTAGTGTCATCTTTACAGATAAATCAACAACTTTTTATTAAATGTGAACTCTACAAATGTTGATTTTATAATAGAAACATCGACTGAGATTTTTTGTTTCATAAATGTTGATATTATTACAGAAATGTCATGCTAATTGAGTTTTTTCTATTGATTTATTTACAAAAACCACATTAGACAACTTTAATTTTTATTTTTTTAATTTTAATTACTATTATTATTATTTTTTAATCATGATGATAAATAGGGGCCTCCTCAATCCAATTCACCTCTTTTTGAAATTAAAATAAATGTATAAGCAATTATGCATTTACAAATTATATATATCCCCGGATCCACCTACGCAAATTTGGTATTTTGTGGTAATGGGAAGAGTGTGGAAATTAGATTATTGTAAAGAATTGTGATTAGTCATATTAATCGAGCTGTTCCTGCAATCACGCGCACTTGCTTGGATAAGATGGTCTCTTTTAACATGTGAATTTCAGGCTTCAAATAATTTGCGTGTCATTAATTTTTTTTTGCCGCAAAAAATGTTGCAGTAAGATTTTAGGGTTCGTTTTATTCCTCAAGGAATCAAATTGAGTTCGGAATTGGCAAATAAAATTGTAAATTTCTTGTTGCGTGTCTAATAATGTCAATTCGGCATGCAAAACGAGACACTAACATTATTTTTTAGCCAATTTCGAGCTCAATTTGATTCTTAAGAATTAAAATGACCCCTAAAACCTTACCCGAATAATTTTCACGGTAAAAAAATAATGGCACACAAAACAATACAATTTATGGCACGCAAAACGAGGAACTTATGTTTTTTTTTTTGCCAATTTTGAGTTCAATTTGAATCCTTAAGGGCTTAAATGACCCCAAAACCTTAACATGACATTTTTCGGCACACAATACGAGGAAGAAAAATAATTAGCTAACCCCGTTAGTTGATACCAAAAGCTATATTTTTAGAATTTGATAGGTAGTAAAATAAAATAAAATAAAATTTTAAATGTGTATCAAAAGTCAACATAGGTTATTTTCGAGGTACCAAAAGTCAAAAATTCAAAAATAAAACAACACGAACACTATATGGTTATTATCAATGTGAAGCCCAGTTGGAAAATCCTAAATTAAACTAAATAATTGCAATGCAAAGCCTTATTAGAAAATCCAATTCGAGAAAATACAAGTATATCAGGATTTCATGATAAACAATCGATGTTTATTGCGAAGCCTAGTTGGAAACTCCAATTCAAGAATATACAAGTTTATCATCATGATAAACAACAACCGTTTATCTAGTGTTTTTTTTTTTTATTACATAAATATTTTTTATAACATTATAAAATACACGTTTTATATGCCATATTTATATGATATTTATCGTGCTTTCTTCCTACATTTAATTATTTAAGTGTCATTTTATTATATATTTCGATATTACTTTCCTGGAGTTCTTTTTTGTGTTTCGTAGGAATAAGTTGTTGTTCGAGTTGAGTTACGAATTGGAGATGGTTTTATGTGACAAAGTGAAAGGAATTTCATTAAAAGAGCTAAATAACAGCCTACTCCGCAACCCGGTTGCGGCTTGCAACACTTCTCCGCGGCCTACCCATGGCCAGCACGTCAAGGAAGATCTAGAGAAGGCATGGCAGCCTAGTCCACGGCCTACCCACGGCTCGTACCACTACTCTGCAACCTACCCGCGGCCTTCTGTTGGATGACGTTTAAAAGGGGATTTGGATAGATTTTTGGCCAATTTTAGGGACTCCTAATTCCACTCAACTTACCTAATACTCATGCTTGCATATATCATCATTAGATTAGAGAGAAAAAGGGGGGCTAGCCGCCTGATACAAGATATTAGGAGCAGCAATTCACTTGTTAGTTTTTAGTTTGTTACTTTAGATTTATTAATAAATTTCTTCCTTTATTCATTCTTGCTTATGTTTCTATGAATTTTGTCTTTTTAATTATGCTTGAGTAGTATTTTATTCTTGGGTTAGGTTGAACCCTAATACAAAGTATAATTTATACTTGATTTATTCTTTTAAATTCTCAATTAATTGTTTATATTGTTCATGCTTAATTGATTGTGCTTATGCCAATATACTAGATTAGATTTAATTGGTATTGTTATTATTATATTGTCTTGATCGCAACGGGAGTTGGGTTTTGACGATTTGATTATGTCAATTAAGGATATGAAATTCTCTACGAAAGTAGGTAGACTGGATTATTAGGAAGTTAGGGTGCCGGACTTAATGTCTATAATTTGCATGATTCCACGGAAGTAGGTTTGATTGTTAATTAGGGAAGCCAATGATAACTCGGGAGTGATCTTTGGTATTTTATAGGGCATACCTTTCTTTGTGAACATATAACTAATTGGTTGGGGTAATAATTTGTCTTGTATTGATTATGCTAGTGGTGATACTTAATTCTAGATGTTTTTATTATTATTTGATTCGTATTTTATATTTGAGTAGTCGTAGTTATTTAATCCATTATTCTATTTCTTTTTCAGTTTTGTCATTGATAAAAGTTGCTTATTAAACAATCTTTTCTATGTGGGATCGACCTTGACTTAGCCTACTACATAATTAGGAAATCTATTTAAGTATTATTTTTGTCACGCCTATCACTTTTGGTAGCTGAAATTTTTTTGTTGATTTTTTTACAAAAACGCTACTTAACATTTTCTTTGTGCATCCGGCTTCCACAATTATGCACTTACAAAGTATATACATCCCTCTAAATAATTTGGTATTTTGTGCCTTTGTGGTGATGGGAAGAGTGTGGAATTGTGGAAATTAGGTTACTGTAAAGAATTGTGATTAGTCGTATTAATCAAGCTGTTCCTGCAATCACGCGCACTTGCTTGGATAAGATGGTCTCTTTTAACATGTGAATTTCAGGCTTCAAATAATGTTGCTAGCAACTACCATGTGCCCATAACCCACTCCATCAAGTCATCTATATTCTACATGTGAATTCGGGAGGATTGAAAACTTCAAAAATCGGCTAATAAAAAAATCCAGAGAGTTTGTACCACGGAGTATATCATTAATGCATCATATAGTCACGACTCACGAGCATCTGCGGTCATCTTGGTGGTGGTGCTGGACCGTTGGTGAAGGCGACTAAGCCGAGTTGGAGTTGGTTCAATGATTGTCGACTGATTAAGGTCATGCTGATGGTGCGGGAGGATCACCATATTTGAACCTATCAATATTTCCTTAAGACTTTTTATAAGGCGAAATGAACAAAGTCACATTCAATATTGTGAAGATTTAATGCCTCGTCAAAAAAAAAAAGATTTAATGCTAACAATAGAGAATTTAACACACCACAAGGGAACAAACAGACTTTATTAAAAAGTACACTATAGAATCATAGAATTCATAATGAAGAATATAATTGGTGCAAATCATTCTGCAACAAGGATACAATTATTAGGGTATGATCATCGATAATAGCATTAACTTTTCCTGGAAGTCTAATCTAAGAACCAAGGAACCAGATCATTACAGGGAGGACAAGAATACAAAGGGGAACATTACAAAAACAAAAAAACAAAAAAACAAAAAAAGATATGATACTGAATGTTAACCAACAGGTTTCAGAACTCAGAATATAGTTTTGATGCCTTAGTCAATCACTTTTGTACAGAAATAAAATTATTGAGTCCAATTCATATGAAACTGGTAATTCAAGTATGACCTGCAGTTCTTACTAATCGAAAGAGAAGCATCGTATCTCTCAAGACTTCGAAAAAGTGTGAACGCCTTAACGACCCTCACTCTTTACTATCTGTGAGAAGACCTTACTCATTGAAACACCCGAATGATCCTCAACAGCGGTCATTTCCTCCGCTACAGAAGTAACACTGTTATCATTCTCGCTAAAATTGTGGATTTGAGGAGACAGAACACCAATCATGTTGGTGCTGTTATCTTCAGGATCATCTAGAATAACGGCTTCTTGAAGTTGTAGAGTATACTCCAAGTTCCACAACACATCTCCCATTGTAGGCCTGTCAACACCGTAATCAGCCAAACATTTCTCAGCTGTTTCTCCGAATTTTCTGAGGGACTCGGGTTTGACCTTTCCTGCAAGAGTGGGATCTACAACTTGATCCAGTTGCCCTTTCTTGTGCCATTTCATTGCCCATTCAGCTAAATTCACCATCTCCCTTGGAAGTGTTGGGTCTATAACTGGCCTTGCACAAAGCACTTCAAATAAGACAACCCCAAATGAGTATACATCTGACTTCTCAGTAAGTTGTTGCCTCCTAAAATATTCGGGGTCAAGGTATCCGAAACTACCCTTGACAGCTGTACTGACATGGGTCTGATCGATCTCAGGTCCTGTCTTTGAAAGGCCAAAATCAGCGACTTTTGCCATGAAGTTTTCATCGAGCAAAATGTTAGCTGATTTTACATCGCGATGGATTACAGCTTTTGAATAGCCAGTGTGGAGGTAATGGAGCCCTCTAGCTGCCCCAATGCATATCTCAAGCCTTTGCTTCCAACTCATACTAGGAAGACCCGAGCCATAGAGGTGACTCTTCAGGGTCCCATTTTCCATATACTCATAGATCAGAATCATCTCATTTTTTTCATCACAATATCCAATCAAGGACACCAAGTGTCTGTGCCGGAACTGTGAAAGCATTTCGATTTCAGTTCTGAACTCTGCAAGACCTTGTTGGGACCGAGGATTACCCCTCTTAGCAGCAATTTTTGTACCATCAGCTAAAACCGCTTTGTAGACTTTCCCGAAACCACCGATTCCAATAACTAAACTCTCATCAAAATTGTTTGTGACTTCTTGAACCACTGCAAAAGGGATTCGATAACTCAAGTTGTAATCAACACTTGTAGCTGTAGTATGGGAGAATTTACTTCCCATTGAGTGGGAAGTCCCTCCAGTAAGGGATAGAGGAATCCATGTTTTTGAAAGACCTTGACGCTTAAGTTTGCTTCTTCTTCTACAGCAGAAGATAAGGATAGCAGCCAGTAAAAGGATGGAAACACCTCCAACAAGACCCACTATCAGCCCTATCTCTTTCGAGCTTCTCTTAGATGGAGGTTGGACAAGAACCTTCCCGCTGAGGCTGGCCTCGGAGTTATTGAGTTTCATAATCTCCAGACCATTCAAGATCGCTTGAGGGTACGTATTAGATAGAGGAGATGGACCAACAGCTACCCGAAGCTTGTTGCTGGTTGTCAATGGTGTAACAGCATCCATAAACACTGGGGTTGCCAAAGCACCAGTCATAGTACTAAGATCGGTATCACGAGAAACAATCCAAGAGTCAAGAAAAACATTAAAATACAACTCATTCAAGGATGTACTCACGATATCACAGAAGTGATAGCGCACAAGATACTGATATCCCACATCCACAGTGAATTCCCATGTAACATTGAAATTAGCCGTGGGACTACTCATCGAGTTCATCTCTTTAGCTGTGCCATAAACACTAACTGGAGCACTGTACCTCGCTGCATGGCCCGGCTCATAGTTGACAACTGAAGTACTATTGGCATTTACAGCAGAACCCTTATTCAGCAAGAAACTATCATCAGTAACCCAGGTTCTCCAAACGGTGTCATTATTGTAATTGACAAGTGGTCCACCCATATTTACCCTAGCAACCGTCTCTAATGCTTGTGACACTAGGCCGTTGTACCTTCCAGTCGGATTGACTAAGCTGGCATCATCTGCAATGAGTAAATCTGGGACTGAGACAACTTCCAATGCACTCAGGAAAGCGAATGAGTTCACCGAGGGGCTGAGGGCGATAACGAGGGTGTTCAATGTCACATTCACCGAGTATTCTTTCATACCAGCAGATTTCTCAGGAGTGTAATCACTGAGGAGTGTAAACTCTTGAGCAGAAACACTGAACTCAGCTTTGCTCATTTTGTATGACTCGTGATCAAACGGATAGAAATAAAGGCGAATAAAGTATCTCCCCATCTGAGTGATGGGCAGTGAATACTTTGACAATCCAGTGAAAACTCTAGCAGATTGGTAAATAGACAAATTAGAGAAGGAATTGGTAGAGTTGGCAGAAATACTCCCCAAAACATTTTGTGGAGTGGAAAGAAATCGAGTCGAGTATCGATCAGCCATGAAAACTCGGTCCCCTACCGTGGTATTTTGAGAGGATCCACAATCTATGAGGTAATTAGTTGCAGCAGCATTAGCTCTCCCAAGAAAGGAGGCTAGAAACACCATAAAGGATACAAGTATGACCACATCGTAAGCCATTTTACACAGTTTCATGATTGAACAAAATTTTGGATCTTAATGAAGATGAACTAAAACAGGTGGGATTTCAGATCAATAATTCATCCAGTAGATTGAATCAAGAAAAAATACAAATCAACAACTGGAAAACCTAAAGCAGAGCAATTTAGCTCATAAACTACAGCAAAATTGAGGGTTTTACAGGATACTGAACTAAACCCAATTATCAGAAACCCAATGAAATTCAATCAAAACCCAGCATAATACACATTCAAAAGGAGCAAAAATTGGAGGGATTTTGGTGCTGTAACATTCTAAAAGTAGAAAGTAACAAAAGAAATGAAATACCAGAAATGGAAAAAGGTAAATTGCAGCTTACTAGATCCAATGAGCTCTGAATGAATAAAGCTGAAAGATTTGGATGATAAGCTGAAGAACCCTTAAATTTCCTGCTCAAAAACAACAAAAAATAGTTGGAAATCTAATAAAAACTTAAAAAGTTTTGTAATAGAAGTTGGTGGTGTATGAGAGTATTCCAGCAGAAAATAGGGAATGATTGACAACTAAACCCAGAAAGTGACACAAAAGAATAACAAAATCAGCAAAGAAAGACAAAATACAGTAGTACAAGATTTGATGTATGAAAGAAAGAAATAATATTTGTAATAAGGATTTTAATAGGGAAGAAAAATGGAGAAAAAGTCAAAAAAAAAATGAAGGGGAAAGAAAGAAGAGAAAGTGGGAAAGATGAGGGAAGAGGTCAAGGGCCGCCAAAGGGGTTTAGCTGTCTTACAACAGTCGCCGTCAGATGAACGGTGGGATAACCGTCAGGTTGGTTAAAGAATTCAAGTTATTACTCTATTAGGCTATATTGGTCAAGTGGTAATACTAGTACTAATGCTAAATACTAGAGTGGGTGAATTTTTTATGTAATTTTGATTACTTAAAGTTAACGCGTACGACTAATGAGTGTACTTCATATGTTGCATGATTACTGGAAGACAATAATGGTTTCGTTGTTCCAACCTAGCGCGGAAGACTTGAGCGATTGTTGCCTAGAATTCACTCCGTTCGTATTTGTTTGTCTCATTTGATTTTTTATGGTTTTTGAAACAGGTCTTACATTAATAACATTATAGATATTTTAAAGTTTGTAATTGTTATAGATATTAGGTTATCCCCGTGCGATGCACGGTTAGAATTAATCTTTCTTGTAATTTATCTTCTGTTGCATTATATTGTATATAAAGATTATAATTAAATATAAAAGTAATTTACATTTAAGGATCTATATGAACCAAATTACTTACAATTAATAATTGAAATAGTCAAAAGAAAATTATTTAAGGAATGCATATTAATGAAATCTGAAGAAAAAAAAATTCATAGTATATAATTAGCACCAATGCTTCAAAAAATATAATTAGAACCAATGTCATTAAAATTATTATTTGAGCTTCCAACAATTAACAGTTTGTGATTAGGGGATTTTTATCCACCAATCACCGTCTGACAAGTGGACCAACCAGGTTCCGCCACGTGTCCTTCACGAAGGCCAACAGGAGCCTGCCACGTGTCAATCACAGATATGTCCTCTACGGACCACTATAGACACGCCACGTGTCCACCCATGCCAAATGGGACAACCGGCCATCAAGGCCCAATTCAGTCTAGAGGCCCGATCAGCCCTAGGTTTACCTTAAACCTAGAGAGTTGCACGCTTCTCAAGGCTATAAATACTCGATTAATCCTCATTAATCATGGGATCGAATAATCAAGAGATCAAGCAGAGAAGAACAGAGTTATTAACAACCGGCTAATCTCGCTAACGACGCAGATTACCAACACTAAGCACTCTCACCTAGAGAGATCTCATTACTATAATTTCTGTATTAATTACTCCTTAATCAGGTACTAACTTGACCGTTGGAGGCGGAGCTCTCAGGAGTCTCCGTTATTTTGCAGGTACAGGCGTCCGGTTCCAGTCTCGGAATTGTAACTCTCCCGCAGGACATCAGAAAACCCCGAAACATTTGGCGCCGTCTGTGGGAGAGTACTTCAGAGATGGCATCCAAGTCTGTACCGACTCCAGAAGAGAGGCGTCCCCTAGACGACCCTCAAGTTCAGTCGGACCATGATACCGAAAGTGAATTTGAAGTTGAAACTCATACAGCTCCAGACGGGACCCTAAGGGCCCGACGTACCCGTCATACCGAAATGAGGGAACGGGAGTATCCTCAAACAGGAAGCGAGCCAGCAGGCGCACCGCTTGCTCGGCAATAGCCGACTGATGGGTCTGCTCCCATCACAAGGAACGAACTCATGACCTTCATGAGGGACTTCAAGGGAGAGATCCAAGAGTTGATCAACAAAAAACCGCCTGCTTCAGTCAAAGAGCAGTCGGCCAAGAAACCTTCCACTTCACTGAAGAGGAAGCCAGTTCAAGGGCGAGAGGCGACTCCCCATCCTAAATCCAAGAAGCGGGAGCCGTCTGCTCTTGATTTCACAAAACTCCATTATCCTACGGGAAATAGGAAACCGGTTCGTCATATTCAGGCGGACGGGTCAAAGCAAACGTTCACAGATGCTCGGCACCTGCTAGAGCAGAAGAAGAGTGACCGATTATCAGAGTCGGCTTCTACTTCAAATCTTCAGGACAGTTTGCGAAATGCCTCGATGAGGCATACTCAGTCGTACCATGAGAGTCAGTCAGGCGGCACCTCCCGTCAGTCCGGCTTTCATAGTGCCCATGCGGTACCAAACTTACCATTTGTGCCGCAGCAACAGTATTTTATGCAGCCACCTCCATTTGGTGGACCTGCAGCAAAAAACGTCCAACCTATGGACTGGCAGCTACGGCTGCTTAGACTTGGTGAACAGCCGTCGGCCTTCTCCAAGGAAATTACTGAAGCCGCTCAGCCGGCCAAAGTAAAAAATGTTCTAGTAGGCGCCTATGACGGCACTACTAACCCAGAAGACCATCTGATGGCATTCACCAACCTGATGTACCTTCAAGGGTTGGATGATCCCACTTGGTGCAAATGTTTCCCAGCGACTCTCAAGGGAATTGCACAGCAATGGTTCGGCAACCTGCCGACTGGTTGTGTAAACAGCTTCAGGACGCTTGCTTACTTATTTGCCTCCAACTTCGCAATGAACATCCCTGCGAAGAAAACGACCCTTGATTTGGGAACAATTCAGCAGGGCGAGAAAGAGGGGCTTCGTTCCTACATCAGGCGGTTCAACCTGATGAGAATACAGATTCAGGGGTTACCGGATGAGGTAGCTTATACTGACTTTTTTAGAGGTCTCAAAGACGGGTCTACCTTCAAATTTGATTTAGTTCGAAAAAGGGTGGCGACTCTTCAAGAGGCCTTGATTGAAGCAGAAGCCTATATACAGGCGACTGATCTGTGTACGATGAAACAGTCGGACGGGAAGAGGTTCGACAAAAGAGAGGGACGACAGAAACAGTCGTCCAACAAAGATGAAAAAAGAAAAGAGGTCTGGGCGGCTGATTCCTCTAAACAGCCGGCCCAGAAAAAGAAAAAAGAATTCAAACCATACTCCCCAAAGTATGTGTTTAACAAGGATAACCAGTTTATCCTAAAAGAAATAAAGGGACGGCTCTCAATTGAGAAGCCGCTCCCCATGAAGGGTTCCGCGAGCAACCGGAACCAAGACAAAATCTGTGCTTATCATGATGACATTGGTCATCACACCAATGACTGCATCAGTCTCATGCGGTACCTAGACCGCTTGGCTGATCAAGGTGATCTTGACACTTATGTCAAGAAATCTACGGGAATACTTCCTCAAAAAAGCAGTCGGCCAAAAAGAATCAACAGGCCGACAGTTCCGATACAGATGATGCAGTCGTCTACACCATTGCAGGCGGCTTCTCAGGAGGCGGCCCCACTATTAGGGGCAACAAAGATAATATAAGGCGGTTAGATGTAAATTCCGTTCACCAAGAACAGCCGTCCAAATATACATTTCCTGAGATTGTCATCACTGAAGAGGATCTAGGAGGAATAAGGGGGCCGCATGACGACCCTCTCGTTATTGAATGTAAAGTGGCCAACCAGAGAGTTGGCCGAATCCTCATAGATACCGGGAGCTCTTCAGATCTCATCAGCAGCAAATGTCTGTCAAAACTGAAATATCAGACAAACTGCATACATCCGGCCTCCCACCCTTTAATAGGTTTTGGAGGAGGAGTCGTCCACCCACTGGGACGAGTAGATCTACCCATTCGCCTGGGCGAAAAAGGGGAAGGACGACACATGGTAGTCCGGTTCCTAGTGGTAGAGGAACTCTCGGCCTACAACATGATTCTGGGTCGACCAACCCTGAATAATTCCAAGGCTGTTATAATCCCGTCACTTATGCTGCTTAAGTTTGAAAGGGATAATGGAACAGTCGGCTCCCTAAGGGGAGATCAGAGGATGGCCCGAGAGTGCTATCTCTCGGATGTCAAGCCTACTGTTATGACCACTAGGTCAAGTGGAGAAAAAACAGACCTTGACAATGTCAAGGAGAGTGCGCCTGTTCAAGAAACAGGCGACAGAAAAAGAAAGGCGTCCCAAACAGAGTCCGCAAGAAAAGCAAGAAAATAGCAATCATTGGCAGAGGAGCGGCCGGATGAGTTCCGCCCTCAGCCGGCTGGTGAGCATGCGGACCTGATATTAGACGACTCCCGTCCTGACCGAACAGTCAAAGTTGGGACGACTGCTCTGAGAAACCTTGGTGACGACTTTCACAACCTGTTGAAAGAGTACAAGGACATCTTTGCATTTGAAGTCCATGAAATGCCAGGCATTAGTCCTGATCTGGCAGTACATAAACTCGCTGTGGATCCGAAAAAGAAGCCGGTACGGCAAAAGAAGCGGAACCATGGTGAAGAAAGAAGTCAGGCGGCAGCCGCCGAAGTCAAAAAATTACTTGATGCAGGGTTCATTCGGCAATGTTACTTCCCAGATTGGGTTGCAAATGTGGTGCTTGTTAAAAAGCCGAATGACACCTGGCGAATGTGTGTAGACTACACAGACTTGAACAAGGCGTGCCCCAAAGACAGTTACCCTCTGCCTAAAATTGATAACCTGGTCGACTCAACAGCCGGCCATGCCTTGATGAGTTTTATGGACGCTTATTCTGGTTTCCATCAAATTCCTTTATGGAAGAAAGATCAGGAGAAGACGGCCTTCGTCACAGATCAGGGATTATACTGTTACACGGTCATGCCGTTTGGTCTTAAGAATGCCCCGGCTACCTTCCAACGAATGATAAACACAGTGTTCTTTGATCAGATTGGGAGAAACGTCGAGGCATATATTGATGATATGATTTTCAAGACTAAACTTCAGAAAGATCATCTGACGGACCTCCGAGAAACTTTCGCCACACTCAGGCGGCACCATGTCATGCTCAATCCCAAGAAATGTGTATTTGGAGTTGAGTCTGGGAAATTTCTCGGATTCCTTATCAACCAGAGAGGAATAGAGGCGAACCCTGAGAAGGTACAGGCGGTCATTGACATGCAGTCGCCTCGTACCGTCCGAGAGGTTCAGAAGTTAACGGGTTGTCTGGCGGCCTTGGGGAGATTCCTAAGCCGATCAGGCGACAAATGCCTATACTTTTTCCAGGCAATTAAGAAAAAGGCAAGGTTCGAATGGGGGCCGGATGCTGAGGCCGCCTTCCAGAAATTAAAGGTTCACTTGCATTCCTTGCCGAGGCTGGTCAGCCCTTTTCCCAAAGAAAATCTCTACATGTACCTGGCCGTCTCTGATCATGCGTTAAGCGCTGTGCTCCTTGCTGAAAGGGACGGCTGTCAACTCCCGGTCTACTTTGTCAGTCACGTACTGAAAAATGCCGAGTTGAGGTATCCCCTAGTGGAGAA